ATACCTTGTGGTTTTATTTTTTTTGTTTTTGCTTATAGATGAACATTAAATATACAGTTAGCACAGAGTCAAATTATAGAGTTTGTAGTTCCTTCATGTCCACTCTTTGTGACCCTATTTGGGGTTTTCTTGGCAAAGATCCTGGAGTGGTTCAGTCATTTCCTTCTTCATTTTACAGATTTGAACACCAGTTATAGAGTTCAGCAATTATGAAACAGGTGATGCAGTGGATAGAGCATCAGGCCTGAGTCAGGAAGACTCCTCTTTCTGAGTTCAAATCTGGCCTCAGACCCTTACTAGTTGTGTGACCCTGGGCAAGTCATTTAACCTTATTTGCCTCAGTTCCTAATCTGTAAAATGAGCTGCACAAGGAAACGGCAAATCACTCCAGTGTCTCTGCCAAAAAAACCTCAAATGGGGTCACAAAGAGTTGGACGCAACTGAATAACAACTGAACAACTGAAAATTATGAAACAGAAGAGGAAATAAAATATGTACTGTATTTGTTCTGTATACAACTGAAAATTTGAGATATTTAGGCAAAGGTTTGAGAGTAAAATTATCAATGACTTTGTGGATGAATTTCCAAAGTTCATCAATGTTTGCAAGGTTTAGAGAAGGAAGGAGGGAAGGAAAGGACAGACCCAAGCATTTATTAAATGCCTCCTATGTGGCAGACACTGTGCTAAGTGCTTTACAAATGTAACAGGGATTATCTGTACTTGCCCAGATCACCTATCATCGAGGCACCCTGTTTCTGAGAGAAGACATCCTGTGTTCCCCTACCAAATGAGTGAGAGTAGACTCTTTTGATTGGCTGTGTAGCCAGAACAGGCTACAACTTAAAAAATTGCCAGACTCGGACAGTCTCTTTCTAGCTGTGTCCAGAAAAGGTGAAGGTACAAGGGCAACCATGAACTGTACTGGTAAGGGGAAGGGACTATCTTCCTTCCCCACTTTAACCTGTAGCCCCAAGAAACAGGTACCTCTCTAGTTCTAACAGCTTGATACAAAAAAATAAGAAAAAAAACAATATAATGTATAAATGACTCAAAAGTGAGAAATTCTTAGCATGTTAAAGTGATAAGGAAAACAATGAGGGATAACTTTCAAAAGTTTATTCATAGAATAAACATTTGTTTTATCATTTATTCATCATTAGCCTAACAATGCCCTTTGTAAGTACAAAACATAGTTATCTTTGGAAAATTTAATAGATAGGACAGTAATATATTCCTTATTTAATAAACCAGTTTTATCTGGTTGCTCCACAGACATCTACGATTATAGGAAACTGTTGTCAAGGAGAAATGGCTTACCAAATTAGGGAGAAATAAAGAAGCAGAAGGGCTTCCTCCGGCAAGAGACAGTGACTCAATTAGGAAAGAAAACAATGAAATCAAAATGGCCTTAGAGAAAGAACTATGTCCTCATGTAAATGCTTTTTAAAGTTGTTTTGTTACAATCATCTCTATTCCTACTTGAATACCTCATCATGGTATACAAGTAACCTTGGGCTCTAAAAGGCTCTGATTTGTTGTTGTTCAGTCATCTCCAACTCCTCATGACCTCATTTAGGGTTTTCTTGGCAAAGATATTGGAGTGGTTGTCTCCAGTTCATTTTACAGATGAGGAACTGAGACAAACAGGGTTAAGTGACTTGCCCAGGGTCACACAGATAGTAAGTGTATGAGGTCTGATTTGAACTCAGGTAAATGAATCTTCCCAATTTCAGGCCTGGTACTCCATCTACTGCATCATCTAGCTGTCCTAAAGGCTCTGACAGCTCAATAGCCCCTCGGCATGGCTATCAAGCCAGGAAGGCTTTTGAATGTGGTTTCAGTAAGAGACCCTCATGCCACCAGGCAATGATATTTTTTGGTTCCAGCGTTTTATGAAACCATCTATAGCTTTATATCTTTTCACTGAAACTCTCCCAGTGCCCACTCTGCCCCAAATACTCATTATTTCTCCCTGCACCTGTTGGCCTTGAATTCCTTCCTTGGATTCAAAATAATAACACCGAACACTATGCTCTGGACAGCTAGGTGGTATAGTAGATATAGTGCCAGATATGGAATCAGGAAGACTCATCTTCATGAATTAAAATCTGGCCTCAGATACTTAATAGCTGTGTGACCCTGGGCAAGTCACTTAACCCCTTTTTTCTTGGTTCCTCATCTGTAAAATGAGCTGGAGAAGGAAATGACAAACCACTCCAGTATCTTTGCCTAGAAAACCCCAAATGGGGTCACAAAGAGTAGGGCATGACTGAAAAATGACCGAACAACAACAAAAACAGTACACTCTATTAATTAAATGATTTTCAAAACTCCGGAGGAATCTTTATGTATCTCTTGCCCTTCTCCCCAATGATTCTAGTAGGGTGCCTCCATTTTTGTCTCATTTATCAGAACTCTATAAATTTCTTAGTTACACACAAAGTAGATCTCACTTTATGAGCCATTCCAACTCCTCCTTCCTCCCATAGGACCCCCCCCGCCAAACCCTGTCAGATTGTCATTATAAGCTAAACCTTCACAGATATTTTTAAGAACCTGGAAAGGAAACATAGGATCATAGATCTGAGCTACAAGGAATCTCAGATGCCATCTAATCTAACCTGATCATTTTCCAGAGGACAAAACAGACCCGGGGAAGTTAAGTGACTTGCTCATTGTCCCACCAGGTATCAAGGGCAGGATTTGAACCCAGGCCCTCTGACTGCTGAGCTAATGCTCCTTCATTCTATCCAAAGTTGAAGGTAACTACAAGAATACAAGCAGAGCTGAGACCTTCAATATTATACACCCGTGCAGCACAGCATTAAGATGACTTCTCAGCATTGCTGAGGGTAGAGTGAGCACATAGGAAAACAATGCTGATACAACGTTGACAAACTGATTGAAAACTTTTGGGAAGACGGATCTCCTTTTGAGGGCATTTAGGTACATTGAAAGTTGGGTTTCAGATGTGCGCCTGTGGGGTTGGGGGAGAGGCTGATATGAGTAGATCTATGAAGTGGGATAAAGGAAAGAATATACATATGTATGTACAAATATCCCTTTGTGGTTATCAACATCCTTCTATCTAAATATTAAAGACTGTTCTGGCTTTAGTGAATTTGAGGCTTTAGTTGGAGGGACTTTGCAATTTTGAAGCATTTGAAATTAGTTGATTTAAGCTGAATATGTGAATGAAGATGACCTAATAATATAGGAAAGGCATGTTGGAATGGGGAGAGGGAAAGGTAAAATATACGCATTCAACAACCACTTAGTATATACACCTGCTGTGGACCCACTACATGCACCTACTATGTACAATGCACATATGCTGAGGAAGGCAATATATAAATAGGAAATAATTTCTGGCCTAAAGGAACTTAAAACCTAGTAGGGGAAGATAGGGAATATACAACCTGAACATCTTTCTGAAGTTATGAAAACCATTTGGCCATCTACTAAAGGTAGACACATTTGAGTTTTTTTGTTTTGAGGTGGGTTTTGGGGGGTCATTTTATGAGCAGACACAAGTAGGGTAAATGAAAAACTTCTGAAGGGCTAGTGAATTTAATTTTTTGCTTTTTGTACCTTTGAGAGTGAGGGTGACATGGAGCATCAGAGGCATCCTGTTCCTGAAAACACTCTTGCTGACCTGGCATTCCATTCAATTCAATTCAATAAGCATTTATTAAGCACCTACTGTGTGCCAGATATCATGCTAGTTGCTACAGTAACAAAGATAAAAATGAAAACAGTCCCTGCCCTCAGGGAGCTTACAATCTACTCTCCTCATGACCCAATTAGTCTGCCTCATGAGGATGGCAGAGTTCCACTGAGAGATGAAGGAAAAGGCTGGGGCATCCAGTTCACATTGGAGTGTGATGACAGATGTCAGCAAAGCCATTCAAAGCCATGACAGTTAATGTATAAAGCAGAATATTTTTATTTTTAAATGAAAATGGATATAAAACATTTACATTTAATCAATTTACATTGAATAATAAAATTTCAAAGCATGGATTACTATGGGAGCATCAACCTAATAACATTTCATGGAGTTCTCAGGCCATTTCTGAGTGATTATTTGAAGCAGCATGTTTGTGGAAAGGGAGTGAGGAAGATGCTTTGGAAGGACTTTCAGCTCATTAACTTTCCCTTCCTCTAGGGAAGCTGATCTGTCAGCTTTGGTTCAGAATGAGGCGAATGATTTTCACCCAATTTATTTCTATCTCATTGCCTGAACCTCTTGGTATTCCTTGTTGGGAAACATTTTTAGCTCTAGGAACACATCCAATTCAGATAACTACTGATTTGGCTTAAGACTTTTTGTTGCTCTAAGGTGTACTCAATGACCTAATTTGGCCTCTTGGGAGGCACGCAGGTATCCCTTCTTTCAAGTAAATTCAATGATCCAAAAGTCACTATTATGGAATTTACAAATTAGGGGATGAATTTCTTAATCTTGTAGGTGAACCATCAAAAACATACAATTTCCAGATCCCTTTGGTGTGGCACCCAAAGAGCCTAGCCCATGGTCTAATTCAGAGGCTGTTAAAAATAGCACCTAGAGAAGCAGATGGCTCAATAGCTTGTTATGTTAGAGAGGCTTTGAAAGAAAAAAAAAAGAATAGATTTATTTTAACATCCCAAAGTGAACTGCTGGTGGGAACCACAATTTGCAGTGGACATATTGCCATTGGGATACTATAGTATCCATCATGCCCTGGGGTGGGAACCTATTTGAAATCCTTCCTTGAAAAAAGTTTTAACTCAGTTCATCGGAGGATTTTTATTTACCATAGGAACACGTCTCTGATTTTATAATATGTCAGTGAGGGAAAAGGATTCAGTATATAAAATTTTAATTTACACATGTTTTCCACAAAATGCTACTGTTTTTTTTAGTCAATCAAGGGATACTAATATATTGTTAGTCTTTATATCAAGAGAGCTACTTTTCATCACTTTTAAGTATTCATTACAATGTGAATTCAGCATTTTCTATTAATCCTTAAACGAATAGAACTCAGATCACAGGACTAGAAGTTGATTGAAGCTAGAGCATGTTTTCCTAAGTGCTCTACAGTTAGGAGCCTTTTGCATCCTTCCTAGATTCCTTGTCTTTTCTACAGGCTGCTATAAATACGTTTGATAGTCTCCGCTTCTTCATCATCAAGGATGCCTTTCTCCACATAAATGTCAGCCTGTTGGTTGATGAAGTCCCTCATCTTTGAAAGGTCATAATCTGGAAAATAAAATTAGTGGAAAGTGAGCAAAGCAAAACCCAGTATAATGAATACCAGAACCATGAAGCTAATTCCAAGTGCAAGTGGATGGTCCTAGGAGACAGGACTCTGTTGATCTGATTAAAACAAATTACATACAACAGATACTCTGATAAACAAAAGTTTCCTTTGGTTCTAGACTATTAATAGGCACAGGATTTGTAAGGAATATTATATTTGGAGTCAGAATAATTTGGGCTTGAATCCAGGCCTAACTAGATGTGTGTGTGAATTAGGGCAAGTAACTTAATTTTAAGGCAAGTTTCCCAATCTGTAAAAATGGAAAAAAATGATATTTCTACTCCCTATCTCAGGTTAATATTTTTATTTAGCAAAATTTAAATAAAACATTATATGTGAAAACAGGTCATGTACTATAGAGTGGCATACAAATGTAAATTATCATTATAAAGACAGGGATGTAACGGAAGGAGTGCTGGATTTGGACTCAATAGAGACCAAGGTTCAACTTCTACTTCTGACACTCAACTGGGTCTGTGGGCATGAAATCACTTCATCTCTCAGAGCTCCAGTTTTCTGTATAATGGGGTTAAGACTAGCATTCACCTCACAGAGTTGTGAGGATCAAATTAAATGTAAAGTGCTACAAATAAGTTGTATCCCATCAGGTAGAATGTAAACTCCTTCAGGGCAGGGATTGTGTAATTTTTGCATTGTTATATCCATAACATCCAACGCCATGCCTTGTATATATAGCGAATACTTAATAATGCTTATTGAATTGAATTGTTGTCTGGAAGAGGAGAGCTGAATTGAGTTATAAATAAGCTCTTCTCATTTTTTTTATCTGACATCAATAGTCATCTTCCTTCAAGTCTCACCCCAAATATCCCAGTTACCTAGACCAAATCCAATGAAACTCTAAAACCACCAGGAGAGAGGGAGAGGGATAGAAAGAGAGGGAGGGAGAGAGGAAGAGGGAGAGAAAGGGAAGGAAAGATAACAAGGAGAAGCAGAAGTAGAGAGATAGTGAGAGAGGCAAGTGGGGAGAGTAGGATGGAGAGAGAGGGTGTGGGTGAGGGAAGAGGAGGGCACCGGGAGGAGAAAGAGCAGAAACAGAGAAAGGAAGAGGTGGGGGAGAGGGAGACAGAAGAAAAGGGGAGAGGGAGTGGGGGTGGGGAGATACTGATTTCAGAACCAAGAAGCAGCTTCTCTTTTCCAAAATGTAACCTCAGCTCTAGAGATATGGAAGGCACAGAACTATGAGTTGTCAGGGATGTACTGCCTAGCCTATTCCTTTGGTATTCTCCAGCATGACAGCACAAATAATTTATGTTAACATGTTAATACGTACTTTAAGTTTTGCAAACAGCCATCCTGTGGGGTAGGATCCATGGAATTTCCCAATAGGGAGAATTTATTGTTATTTTTTAAAAATCTGAACTCACTGAATTCTACTCTCCCAAAATTTAGGCTGTTTATCAGATAAGACCTGGATTTCAATTTCTCATCCGGAACCCTATTCTGCAGATGAATCAGCTGAAGCTCTGAGAGGTTAAGCTGTGTGTCCAAGGTCACACAGTCAGTGTGTGACAGGATCTGAACTCTAGTCTCCCAAAGCCAAGTCCAGTCCTCTGCCTATTTTGGTCCCAGATATCTTCTACAGGCCCTTTCTTACACATAGTTATTGACTACTCAGGAAATCCATTTTGCTAGATACTACCTGAAGGTGCAGAGAGAGACACTGGGATGTGGGCAGTTTACTTCCTGCCTACAGTAAGGCAAAAGGCTTTGCTTCCTTTCATGACCATGAAGGTGTGTTGCTTGCGTGTTTAGGGATGTGAAATGAACAATCAAGCTAAACCAAGGGCACTTATGGAGAGTATACCATAGGAAAGGCAGTTTGGTACAGTGGAAAGGGCACGGAATTTCAGAATCCTTTCAATCAGAAAGAGAATAAACTTGTGTTTGGACAGCTTAATTTTTGAAAAAGGGTAGAGGGTAACTATTATTATTATTCCCAATTACTAGGTAGGTTTTTTTTTGACAGGCAGGCAGGGAAGGCACTTACTAATCACCTACTATGTTAATCATTTTATGAATATCTCATTTGATTCTTACAACTCTGTGAGACGGACGCTATAATTATCCCCATTTTATAGTTGAGGGCATTGAGGTAAACAGAGAGAGGGTCACATAGCTAGAAGGTGCCTGGGGTTACATTTGAATTCAGGTCTTCCTGACTCCAGGCCTAGCTCTCTAGACATCTCACCACCTACACAGGAGAACACTGGGGAGAAAAGCGAAGCCAGTTATAGCAACGCCAAAAAAAGAAAAAGAAAATGCACAGAAGAGAACAGAAGGAGGCTCAGAGGGAACACACATGAGAAGGACAGCTTTTGAAATGAATGTGCTAAATTTAGTATATACTAGAAACACACAGAGCCGTATGGAATGAGATTCCTGGTTCGTTTTGTACGCAATACTTTTTTCTGTTCTTTGTATATTGAAATGTTCATGTTTGTTGGTGTTTGTCAAGTTCAGAATAATAAGATTGAAAAACTTGTAAAAAGATATCCTTCTGACAACCGTTGTCTGCATTCACAAACTACCATTCTTCCTGTAGCTTTTTGTTTCACACGTTAGCAACCAGTCGCTGAAGGATCAAGGTTTGAAGGGTAATGAGATTCACCCAGGACAAAGTTCTGGTTGACTGTGCTAGAGCTCCATATGTTGGTGGTGATAATAAGAACTCAAATTTATACTCAATATTCCAAAAGTCTTAGTGCAGTTTTAAGCTAGCAAAGCTTAATCTTGTTTTTGAGATCCACTCCCTCGTTTGATATCCATAGCTGACAGGCAGCACAAGTATTATTATCCCAATTTTACAGCCAAGGAAACTGAGGCTTAGAGGTTCAGTGACTTGTCCCGTAGTTACACAGCTACTAGTAAGTGTCAGACAAGGGTCCAGAATGGTTCATTTGGGAAGCGTCGATCTTGGAATTAGGAACCAGGGATTCTAGTTCTGGCTTAATCCTTAACAAGCTGACTTGTGGGCAAGTCATTGAATTTCTATGGACCTCAGTTTCCACATCTGTAAAAGGAGTGCAGAGAAGACATCCTTTCATTGGATCATAGGTTTAGAACTGGAAGGGACTCGGGGCCATCCAGTCCCACACTTTCATTTTGTAGACCAAGAAACTGAACCCCCGAGGAACTTAGTACCTTGCCAATGTCACACATGTAATAAGCATCAGAAGTGGGATTTGAACTCAGGTCTTCTGACTCTCAAAAGCCAGTGTTGTTTATAGCTTTCCATCTCTATAATTTTATGATCTAAGATTTATTAACGTGCAATAATCCTGATTTGCTCTTTGCATCAAGGAAAGAAACTATAAACATGTCTACAGGCATGTATACATTTCCATATTTTGGGACAAGAAGGTAGGTAGCAAAAGGTGAGAAATTAGGACTAAGGCAATAATTCTTCTATTGTGCTCCTCCCAGTGGGTACACACACACACACACACACACACACACACACTCTTACACACTTAAACTACACCTCATAGGGTCATAAGTCCAGATGTAGAAGGGATCTCAGAGGTCAAATAGTCCAACCCCTCATTTTACAGATGGGGAAATTAAGGTCTGGGAAAGTTGAGTGACTATCTCAAGGTCCCCAGGGAGTAAGCATGAGAGACAGGATCTGAACTCAGATCTCTTGGTTCTAAAGTTAGTGATCTCTGTACTACCTAGATACACTTAAGCTGCTCCTTAGAGATTCCACATCTCATGGCTATTGTGCTATCCCAAAATAGCTGTGGACAGCTAGGTGAGCAGTGGATAGAGTGCCAGGCCTGGAGTCAGGAAGGCTCATGTTCATGAGTTCAAATCCAGCCTCAGACACTTACTAGCTGTGTGACTCTTGGCAGGTCCCTTAACCCTGTCTGCCTTAGTTTCTTCACCTGCAAAATGAGCTGGAGAAGGCAACAACAAATTACTCTAGTATTTTTTGCCAAGAAGCTCCCAAATGGGGTCATGAAGAGTTGGACAGAACTAAATCAACTGAATAAAAAAACAGCTGTAACACTGATTTCCAGGCATTTTCAATACTGTGTCTATTTGTTTCTATCACTTGTATCTGACCTTTTTTCTCTCATTAAATTGTAAGCTCCCTGAAGACAGGGACCATACCTTTTCCTTTCTTCTCACTTAAAAAAAATATCCCTGCAGCACCCAGGACAAAGCTCTGCACACATAATAACTGACTGACATCATGTTTTATTATCATTAAACAATTTGCTGATGTTTCTTTAGATCATCACAATAATTCTGTAGAGTAAGTTTGGCAAATATAATTAATCCCATTTTATGGATGAGGAAACTAAAGCTCAGAAAAGCAAAATCACTTGCTCAAGGTCAACTTGATAGGCAGCATCATACCTGGAAATTCACCCTACATCTTCTGATTCTAGATCCAGTGGGTTTTTTCCCTCCCATTACCCCACAACTGCCTCCCAGCTGTGTTGTAAGAAAACGCTATTGATCAAAAGATGGATTTGGACATTATGACCATCCTAAGTAGAAATTTTTTTTCCTTTTCCCTCCTTAGGTAGATCTTAGGAGTCTTCCGGTTTCTAAGAAAAAAATCTGTATTCAACTCATCTCATCAGGGGAATTTATACATAACAAGCATACCTAGTTAGGTAGCATAAAGGTTAGAGAGCCAGTGTTAGTTGGGAAGACTTAAATTAAAGTACTACCTCTGGTACATACTAGTTGTGGGACCTTGGGCAAGTCACTTAACCTCTGAGGTCTGGAGACTCTCTAAGACTATAAGTGAGAGATGAGCTGGTGATCTGCATCAGTGGACGGAGGTTCCATACCAGGAGTTCTTTTCAAAGATGAAACAACATATAAATCCCCCTCTCCCAATGGTATATAGAAGGTTAAAAAATGATAATTCCATACCTTCTTTATTTCCTTGTTTATCATGTTTCTTCAGCCATTCAATGTTCTTTCTGATGGCTTCCAAATAAGCCTCTGTTTTCCCTGTAAAAATCAAGCAAACCAAAATTTAAAAAAAAATCATCACAAGTTAACATGTTTTGTTCATTGAAATGCTCCTTTGGTTCAAATGAATAGATCTGGGGCTAGGTGGGGCAATGGATCGAGCACAGGCCCTGGAGTCAGGAAGACCTGAGTACAAATCTGGCCTTAGATACTTACTAGCTACAGTGACCCTGGGCAAGTCATTTAACCTCAACTGTCTCAAAAATAAATGAATCTATCAAAAATATTTATTGAGCATCTATGTGAGATATAAAACTATGGAAGGCAGGATGGAGCAGCAGGAAAAGCACTGGCCCTAGAGTCAGAGATGTGTTTTTATTCAATCTTTCTTGGCAAAGATACTGGAGTGATTTGCCACTTCCTTCTCCAATAGATAAAGCAAACAGAAGTTAAGCAGCTTGCCCAGGGTCATACAGCTACTAAAATATCTAAAGCTTGATTTGAACTCAGGTCTTCCTGACTCCAGGGTCAGCTCTCTATCCACTGAACCACCTATCTAGATTCAGAGAACTTGAGTTCAAATTCTCCTTCTGATGCTTATACTATCTGTGTGACCTTGAGCAAGTTATCTAACCTCCCTGGGCCTCAGTTTCCTAATCTGTAAAATGAAGAAATTGGACTAGATGGTCCTGAAGGTACCTTCCTATTCTTGATCTAATAGGCAATAGGAAGCTACTGAAGATTTTTGAGCATGAGAGTGACACTGGCAGACCTGAACCTTGTGAATATTGATTTGGTAGCTGTGTAGAAGATGGATTAGAGAGGAGAAATTGATAGGAGGGAGAACAAATGGGACATTGCAATAGTCCAGGTGAGAAATGGGAGGATCTAAATTAGGGGTGGGGAGCCTGTGGCCTTGAGGCCACACGTGGCCTTCTAGGTCCTCGGGTGCGGCCTTTTGATTGAGTCCAAGTTTTACAGAACAAATCCTTTTATTAAGGGGATTTGTTCTGTGAAGTTTGGATTCAGTTGAGGGGCCACACTTGAGGATCTAGAGGGCCACATGTGGCCTCGAGGCCACAGGCTCCCCACCTCTGGTTTAAACTATGGTAGTAGCAGAATGAGGACGGAGAAGGGATGAATGCAATAGATATTGTGGAGAGATACTAGATAAGATTTGGCAACTGGTTGGACATGAGGAGTAAGAAAGAACAAATATTTGAGGATGATTCCAAGAAATCCGGATGGCTGGAACAATGGACAATGAAACAACAAAAATAGGAAAGTTTGGAAGAGACGCAGGTTTAGGGGGAAAGACAATGAGTTCTGTTTTTGACATGGCTTCCTTTAAGCCTCGACTAAAACCCTATCTTATACAGGAAGACTTTGTTGTTGTTGCTGTTGTTCAGTCACGTTTGACTCTTCATGACCCCATTCTGAGGTTTTCTTGGCAAAGATACTAGAATGATTTGCCATTTCTTTCTCGAGCTCATTTTACAGATGAGGAAACTGAGGCAAATGTGGTTAAGGGACTTGCTCAGGGTCATACAGCTGATAAGTGTCAGACTAGATTTGAACTCACGAAGAGGAGTCTTCTTAATTCCAAGCCCAGAGCTCTATCCACTGTGTCACCTCAATCCATCTTAATTCTAGTGCTTTTTCTCTGTTAATCATTTCCTATTTATCGCGCATCTAACTTGTTTTGTATATATTTGTTTGCCTATTGTCTCCCCATTAGACTGTAAGCTCCTTGAGGGCAGGAGTTTTTTTTTTTTTGCCTCTTTTTGTTTCCCAAGTGTTTAGCACAGAGCCAAGCAAATAGTAGGCACTTAAATGTTGATTGATTGATTAGTGTTGAATCGAAGAAGTCTACAGAACATTCAAGAGATTTCTAGCAGGTAATTGATGGTGCAGGACTGGCATTCCAGAGAAGGATCTATAGATTTGAGGATCATCTGGTAGAGATGATAAAGCGATTGAAACCATGGGATGAGATCACACGTAATAACAACACCATGGCCAAGCACATATAGTGCTTGAAAGTTGGTAAATCACTTTACATACATAATCTCATTTAAGCCTCATAAAAAACTTGTGAAATAGGTACCACAGGTATTATTATCCACATTTTACAGATAAAAAAAATTGAGACTTAGAGAGATTAAGTGACTTGCCCATGGTCATAAAGGCACTCAGCATAGTCTCAGACAAGATGTGGGTGCAAGTCTTCCCAAGAAAGTTTGCAGAGAAGAGGGCCCAATACAGGCTCTTGGGTTACAAGGCACCTTTACTGAGTAGGCAGAAGATAATGATGATTCAGAAAAGCATACTGACAAGGGATTAGACAAGGGAATGAGAAAGTTGATTCACTGAGGATCCCTCCTCCATTCCAATCAGTATCAATCAATTTGATATGATTCTGTAGGGGTAGTGATTATAAGTTCTGTATGTTTGGCTCCAGAGCTGTAAGCTGCAGATTGTAAGATCACTTGCTTAATCATAGGAAGTTAACTAGAGGCCCTCCACCCTTGTTTTTCCATGTCATGGTGACCAAGCCCAGTGTGGCAAAGGTGACTCAACTACGTGGAAAGTCCTTCATTTTATTTTTGGGGCCCTGGACCATTCTCTCCTGTCAACATGAGCAGTTGAACATCTTCTGACCACTTAGTCAGTGGAGATGCTGCATGCTTCACTCAATCTGTGACCCCTCCCGCTAATACGTTGTTTTTGGCCCTCAAGAGCAAGGTCTATCAGCCAATGAGATTCTGCATTTTGCCATGTCTCTTTTGCATATTTGGGCAAGAATAAGTAATGTATTAATCCATACTTTATGTAAGTCACATAGGAATATGATTTCCAATAGAGGGGCCCTATTGTTTAACAGCTGGGGAGCTCACTTGTGCAACCATGAGAATGCTGACAAAGATATCTCCATCCTGTTTTGCTCAAATTCCATGACCACACCAAGCATAGGTGGTGGCATGGTATGGAAAGCCGCCCCCATATGTTCTTGAAGGGTATGTATAGCTTCCGTCTAACCTAGGAGAAGCCCATCCATCTTGTGACCACCTAGTCAGTAAGCATATTTCCTGCTTTGCCCAACCTGTGACCCTGCTGATATATTGTTTTGCTTATTTTAGCGTATGTATCACATGTCAACCAATGGAATTATTCTGTATTTGGTATAGCTGTTCATGAATATTTAGATATCCAATCCTATAAAAACAGGGCCCTGGAAGGAGGGGGCATCTCAGATTGTGAAGATCTGAGGTCCACTTCATTAAAGGGGTCATGGACCCTTTAGTAAAGTACCATTGGCTTAGAGCTATGCCTCAGTCTCTCTTATTGTAGCTTGGATAGCAAGCAGGAGGAAGCAGAAGGAAGAAATTCCATGGGAGCCCAGGGAAAAAGCAGCATCCTAGAAAGCATTACGTAATGATTAACAGTGTCAAAAACAGCAGAGAGTCAAGTAGGATGAGGACAAAGAAAATACCATCAGATTTAGCAGCTAAGAGATCCCTGGCAACCTTGGAGGGGCAGTTTCAGTAATGAGGTGGGCTTGGAAGCCAGATTGTAAGGAGCTGAAAAATGAGGGGATCTGAAGAAGTTGAGGTAATGAGCATACATGCCTCTTTCCAAGAGTTTGGTTTTGAAAGAGAGATGAGATAGAAAATGATAGGGTATATTTCAATTAGTTTTACTGGGTTCAGTGTCTGAAATATTTTTTAAGTGACTTGCCCAGGGTTACATAATTAATAAGTGTCTGAGGCCAGATTTGAATTCAGGTCCTCTGGACTCCAGGGTCAGTGCTCTAACCACTGCACCACCTAACTGCCCCTTCAGTGTCTGAAATCTTTTGTTGGCATTTGCCCATAGGACTACTCACTCTCTCTCTCTCTCTTTGTCTTCTCTTCTCTCTCTCTCTCTCCCTCTTTCTTTCTCTCTTCCTTCTCCTCTTCTTCCTTCTCCTTCTACTTCTTCTCCCTCCTCCTCCTCCTTCTCTGTCTCTGTCTCTATCTCTATCTCTCTCAGTGCTTTGACACTTCATCACCTCTCAAAGGATGGAGTAATGCAAGGATAAGTTTCATTTATTTGATAATTTGTTACAAGAAATACACACATATACAGACAGCAAGACAAAGACAGACACAGAGGGAAAAAAAAGAGAGACAGAGATAGACATAGATAGACAAAGAGAGACAGACATAAAGAGACAGAAGAAGAAAGAGAGAGGAATTTCAGAGTTCAAGATGATGGAGGCAGCATAATTATATTATGATAAAATGTCACCATCTCTGTGGCAGGATGGGGTAAAGGCTGAGCTGGGAGACCACTGTATTTGAGGGAACATCAATGAGTATATTGACAACTCCCAGTATAAGGGCAAGGGGAGGTGTGGAGCAGACTGGGATCCAGGTACCAAACTTCTTGAGAACAATAAGAGAATGACTTGGAGACTGGTAGGTGACAAGAGCAAAGCTTTGGACTGAGGGATATGGATGGATGGAGTGACTCTCAGAGGAGAGGTTGCTGGTGATCATGACAAAGGGATAGTCAAAGTGAGGAGCAAGTGTGTCAGGTTCTCTTGGTCCAGTGTGTCAGAGAGGAGGGGAGGGGGAAGGAAGCATGGTAGGAAGAATACTCAGTATTAGAAAAGGGATGGTGAGGATTTCACACCTTCTGCAGATTCTGGAGAAAACCAGGTTCCATAAGTTCAAGAAGATGGAAAGAATATCAGATGAACTCACTAAAAACGGAGAGTTTCTTTAATAGAATAGGAATTCCAGAGGGCACAATGCAACAGAACAGCCGAGGAAGACATCAGTGGAGGGCTGAGGTGTTATGCTGCCACCTTGAATCTTGCTAAATCTGTATTTTTTATGGCCTTTTTACCTTCACTGACTTTAAATTGTCTGAACACACTCGTACATTTTTTGATAATCCCAACCCACCTTGGCTTCCTGGACTCCACATTACCCTGCTTGATAGCGAGAAGGCTTAATTTAAAGGTAAGATGTAGAAATTTTCATTCCTCAACT